AAGTGGGCCACGGTGGTTGCCAGGTGTGGAAGGCAGTGATACGTACTCAGTCTGGAAAGATCACAGAACTGGGGGCAGGAAGGGAAGCCCCCACTATAACAAGGCCAGCAAAGCAGATCCAGAACTCTCCTTGTTCCCCACTCTCCCTCAGCTACTTCTCCTTTGAGGTTCATTTTAACCACATCTGTCAACCAATCCTGACCGGAGGGGATGTTATCTGCTGCCCCAAGACATTCTTTCTCCTTTCCGAGTCTGTCTTACAGCATCTCTACCTCCTCTCCTGTCCTCATATGAGGGGACATACGAATTAATGTTCCTTCAGACACCCTCCCCTCCCAATTCCCTCATCTCCTCAGTTCATCTGACCCAGCCTTCCACGTGCAATGGTATTCACACTCAAAATAGAAACAGAGCCCTGTGAGTCACAGTGACTTAAAACAACCATAAATTAACATCATCTGTGTTGTACTGCATTTTTATTTCTCTTGGTTTTTTTCTTTTAGGAACTTGTTTTCTTCAGTGTACTTTTTTTTCCAGTTGGCCAACTGCATTTTTTAAGGACTTGTTCTCAAAAGTTAATTTTTATCCTTCCTTCTCTAAGCTATTGACTCTCTCTTGCATACCTCTCATTTCTTTTTCCATTTTTTCTTCTACCTTTTTCATTTGGCTTTTAAAATAACTTCTTGAGCTCTTCCAAGAAGGCTTTTGGGGCTTCAGACCAGTTCATATTCCTTTTTGAGGTTCCAGATGTGGATTTGTTGACAATGCTGTCCTCTTCAGAATTTCCGCCTTGATCTTCACTGTTCCCATAATAAGAATCTATTGTATGTTTCTTTTTGCTCATAGTGTTTGCTTATTTCCTGGCCTTTAAAGAGATTGAGTTCTACTGGGGAGCAGAGGGCACTGACCCAAGCTTCTGGGGCTTGTCCCTGGCTTTGTGTGCTGGGGCCTCCAGTGCTGGCAGTTGGAGGCTGTAGGGTTCTGGCAGCTTACCTGGTGTTGGGCTGGAATCACCAACACTGGAACTCTAGGGGTAGGATTGGGTAGTGTGTCTCTTGAAGACTTCCTGCTCATCTGGGCCTTTCCTTCCTTTCACTTTCTTCAGCTTCTTTCAGATGGATGTTGCAGGCTGTTTATCCACCTGGGGCCCCTTGGAGCGCTGCTTCCCTTAATTTCGTTGAGACACTGGGAGACCCAGTTGCCGTAGAATGCTGAAGCACCTGGTGCTTTTCCAAGCTGGTTTCCACCCGTTCCCCTGCCCTCACTGAGGTGCTAGGGGGTCCACGTGTGGGTGCTTGCCTGTTCCACCACCTGGGTTTCAGGATCTCCTCCTGGTATGCTGAGGTGGGGCTTTAAGCTAGCTGGCTTCCAGGAGCCAAGATGGCAGAGTAAGAAGTCGCTCTTACCCTCCCTTACTAACCTCTGAAAGCCCAGAAAATATTTCCCCAGGAAAAACCCTAGAACAGCCAGACCAGAAGTAAGATGGGGTACAGCAGTCCAGCAGCCCAGGTAGCTTGGGGGATTAACGGGAGAGGCCCCTCTTGCCCTGGGGCAAGGGGAGCAGTACAGAATGGGAGGATATTTCATGACATGCATAATCTCAGATTTGGAAGAAACCTCAGTGTAATTTCTCTTGTTATACATTGCCCAATTACATTTTAATATGGTTCAGGTTGCACTTGGGAGCTTTGCTGGGTGCCTGGGTTTGACACTTTGCTTTTACAGGTGCTCGGCTATTCAGAAACAGCCCCTCTCACCCTGACCCTGGCCATCATCAGCACAAGCACTCCACACCCATGATCCCACAATCTTCTACTTTATTTTTTGGGTAGGCAATGGGGTTAAGTGACTTGCCCAGGGTCACACAGCTAGTGTTATGATGTGTCTGAGGCCGAATTTGAACTCAGGTCCTCCTGAATCCAGATTTGGTACTCCATTCACTGCACCACTTAGCTGCCCTTACAATCTCCTATTATTTCCTTTCTCCCTAGTCGTTACTCTTCCCAAACCTCTTCATCATCTTCCTCCTGACAATCTCTCCACCTCTTATCCTCTACCAGGTCATCTGCGCTACTGCCTCCTTTACCCAAATCATGACCTCATAGCAAACCAGCTAGACACTACACTGTGCACTCCTCAGGAATCCCTTGCTCCTAGCCAAACCCCAAGCCTGGATTATTCCCATTACATGCTATTGAGTGGATGTGAAGAGAATTGACTTGATCCCACTCTCCACCATCAGCTATTCCAATCCTTCTCAGGCCTCCCGGAGCACCCCCCCTCCCCATCCCCCAACCTCACCACACAATCCAGGGCACTCACCAAGCCCTCCCTCTTCTCTTCCCCAACCCCCATTTCATGACATCATTTCCTCCTTTAGTCTGGTGCCCACATTCTCCTTGCCAAGGCCAACACCTCCAAACGCTCCAGGATTTGCTCCAAAAAATAAAACTGGGAGAAATTTAGATTGAATTACATTTAGGTTTCTTCCAAATCTGAGACTATGCATGTCATGAAATATCATAAATGAATTAAATATTGAAATAAACATTTTTACCTTCCTTATAAAAAAAAAAGTTGGTGAGGAAGCTCCAAGGTTCTGTCCTGGGCCCTCTTCTCTCACATGCTCTCAGGTGGCCCCAACAGCTCCCACAAATTCTCTGTGAGAAAGCCAGTAGGGCAGTGAAGGGATAGGAAGCACCGAGCCTCTAAAAAGATCTGAGCTCAAATAGGACTCCAGGCACTAGCTACATGACCCTGGGGAGGTCATCTAACCTGTTTGCCTCAGTTTCCTCAACTGTAACATGGGAATGATTTTACTACCTACCGGTCAGGGTCATTTGTAAAGCACTTGGCCCAAGTGCCTAGGACACAGCAGACAAGTCCCAGATCTACAGATTCTGCCCTGTCTGGCATCACTAACTACCTAATGATCATTTGAACTGGATGTCCCGTGTCAAACTCAACAGGTGTGGAGGCGTTATTTAAAACCTTCTTTTCAGTTTAACTGAGGGTACTAAAAGTTCTTTCTAGACTTTCCTCCTCAGGCAAAGTACGTAAAAGAGCAAGAATAAAAGCTATCTGTAAAACAGATTAAGGGTGGCAATCAAACTCAGAACAAAAAAAACCTAAAACCACCAGGCAGGAGGGGAGTTACAAGGGGAGAACCCTTTCCCCCTCACTGGGAGGGGATTATGGCATTACTCACTAGGCCCCTCCAAGTTACACGGGGGAACAAGAGGGGACCAAGAAGGAACTAAGGTCCTATCAGATGAAGGGTGAGGTTTAATCCAATGATTTAACCCTACCTTTTCCTAGGCTCACGATTCCCATAAAAGTTAAATTATCTTGTAGGACAGACAAAGGCTTGGGAAGATGTCAGTATGAACATGACTCTATAAGCCAGAAACTATCGGTTGTAGTAGTTTTTCTTCAACCAACAGGGCTAATTTTTCTCCCCAAATCCATCCATCTTTCAAACTTCCCTATTCCCACCATCCTTCCAGTCACTTGGGTTCTCAATTAAACAGTTCTCCCCTACCCTTTATAGCTAGTCAGTTAATAGTGCTGGACCTAGTACTTGGGAAGAGAGGAGTTAGAATCCTACCTCAGATTCAAGTTCTTGGGGCAGCTACGTGGCTTAGTGGATAGAGCTCCAGAGTTCAAATCTGGTCTCAGACACTTGACACATAATAGCTGTGTGACCCTGGGCAAGTCACTTGACCCTGATTGCTTCACCACTAACAAAAAAAAGTCCTTCCTTTCAACTCTGGCCGACTGAGCCTCAGCTACAAGTACTTCACCCCCAGGGTTGCGAGGAGGATTGGATAAATAGATGTAAATAGATGTAAGCCAACTTTAAAATCAGCCGTTCTTTTTTTCTCTTCTGGGTCTCCCCAGACACCCAAAGCCTACACCAAAGATAGTCAACTGCTCTTGCCTGTAAGACTATTCCAATGGTTTCTCTGGGTCTCTCAATTGGGCCCCTTCCTACCTTACCTTCTAATCTATCATTCCCCTGCATGCACTTGGAGCCCCAGCCTTATTATTTCAGACCACTACAATCCCATTTCCATATTGGATGGCGGCCATCTTTGGTCACAGCCTGGTCACCTCGGCTTCCTCGAGGACTCAGCTCAATAACCCTCTTCCACAAGAAACCTTTCTTGTTTGCCCCCATTGCTAGTGCCCTCTTTTGCAGAATTATATGTATCTGCACATGGCCTTCCTGGGAAGGCAAGATGCTTGAGACGAAGGCCTCTTTCACTATTTCCCAGCAGCAATTTAGCAGTGTCTACCTAGCATAAAGAACATGTTTGTGGATCCAGAGATGTGGTACTGTTTATAGTCTTTAAACACTGATTGGATAGTAAACTCTTCAATGAGGTCTAGGTGGCTGTTTCCAGTTTCATGAAGAGTAAGTGCGATATTTGGGATCGAGGAAGCAGGTTAAATTCAAACAAACATTCTTAACCAGGTCTACTCTTTCTCTATCACCTTGAGATAAGGTTTCCAGACACCTGATCCTACCAAATGGCTATGACCAAAAGCAGAACTCACTTTGGCCTACACCCAAGCCCACTTACCTTCTAGTTAATAACCTCAAGAAAGGTCCATTTCTACCTCTGCTCTCCCCAAGTAGGCCCTCCCTCAAGTCACCAGCAGATATTAGGTTGGCAGAATCACAGAAAATCACAGTTCAGCCCTGTGAATTAATGAAGATGAATAATTAACCCAACAGCTGCTATCTTGGGCATCCCCGTGGGGCTGATTAGAGAAGGGGAAATGCTGCCTTCAACTAGACTAATCTCTAGGGGACAGGCCTTGAAGCCAACATAGCCTGGGAGATTATACAAACAGAATCAAAGCTGGGAAAGTGGGTCATGGACAAGGAGGGATGCAATGGGTAACTCTGCAGCAACTTCTCCCCACAAAACCAACTCCTCTCAGGGTCACAGCCTCCCACCCTACACAGGTCAGGCGCCAGAAAATACTGCACATTCACTAAGAAGCTTCTTATTTTTATTGTGAGGATCCGGGTTACTTGAGAGGGATGAAACGAGAGGAGTGGGTGGCTCCAATACCCGGCCGGCCGTGTTTCACAGGCTTGTAGGTGATGGAGAATTCGCCCAGGTAGTGTCCAATCATCTCGGGCTGCAGGACAAGATGGATGGCTCATGGTTTACAAGCAAGCTCCTACCAAAGTGGGAAGGCACCTTACTCTGCCCAAGGTTACCACCTCTTATCACAAAGGCCAAAGAAAAATCTAAGAACAATGGCCGCCAAAGATTTATAGCTGAAGGGACAGAAAGCCCACTTATCTGGCCCTTTCATTTTATAGCTGAAAAAGCTGTGGTGCACCACAAAGAAGTTGTGACTTGTGGAGCACATTAAAGAACATGGGATGTGGAGTCTAGAGACGCCGGACTCCAATCTTGGAGCTACCATTTGTGACTTAAATTACCGAGCCTCCTCCTCACCTGGAAAAATGCTCTACAATGCAAGTTATTGTTATTGTTGTACCAAGTCACAAACAGCAGGCAGCCAGGCCGGCACTCAAGCCCAGGGCCTTGCATCCAAGTTTAGTTCTCTAAAATAAACCCTCATAATTTGAGCGTATGCTTGTCAACTTGACTGAAACCATTTCCTGTCCTGCTCTGTATGGCCCCTGACCTCTTCATCACGAGGCTGCTGTCTCCTCCCCAGACCAACCCTTAGCAGTGTCTTTGAAATCCCAAGTGTTCCACGGCCAAAGCACTTTGTGATGCACTCACAAAGGCAGCTGAGAAGCTGGCCTTCGAGCACCTGACTCGAGTGTCATCTCAACTGAGAAAACTAAGGCTCAGAAATGATGACCTGAGAGGCAGTATAGTATAATGGTTAGTACTGTACAAGAGTAAAGAACACCTGGGCATCCATATTTATCTGGCACATAACAGTGCCCGGCACACAGTAGGTACTTAACATTTACTGGCATTTTCTCAGATACTTGCTAGCAGTTATGACCCTAGGTAAGTCATCTGTTCTTATCTGAACAATGAGGGAATGGATTCAACCCCACCTCCAAGGTCCCTTCTGCCTCTAAATCTCTGACATGTTTAAGGTCATATATGTGAACAATTGGGGCTAGGAACTGACAACCAGGTGCCTGACTTCAAATCCTCTTTTTTCCCCTCCAGGAGCATTTTACTGTTTTCATCAGTAGAGTCCTAACGTCCTCCAGCTACCAGAAGAGCTACGAAGGTGCGATGCCTGCCAGTGCTTACCTTAATTTCTACCTGATTGAAGGTCTTGCCGTTATAGACACCCACCATACTTCCCACCATCTCTGGCAGAATGATCATGTCCCGAAGGTGTGTCTTTACAACCTCGGGTTTTTCCATGGGGGGTGCCTCCTTCTTGGCCTTCCTCAGGCGCTTCAGGAGGGAATGCTGTTTGCGCCGCAGACCCCTGTTCAGTCGCCGCCGCTGTCGAGCACTGTACAACTGCATGAGCTGTTCACTGCAGGAGATTGGGAGAAGAGACACAAGTTAGCAGGACCTACCCAGGCTATCGAGGAAAAACTGATGGATGCTCAAAGGCTGGGAATGTAAACAGGGTCTACTTTATTTTTCTTTTGGGGGGTGGAAAGAACAGGACAATTTAAGAGCACAACTAGATGGCACCATTTATAGTGCTGGACTTGGAACCAGAAAGCTGTTACAATCCTGCCTCAGACACCTAATAGTTACATGACACTGGACAAATCCACTTTCTCTTTTTTCTCATCGGTAAAATTGGAATAATAGCACCTCCACCTTATTCATAAGGTTATTTCAAGGAACACACATACATGCAAAGTGCTTGAAGAAAACCTTAAAAGCACCGTAACTCAGAAGGCTTTTCTCTCCTTCCTCAGCCACACACTAAACTCTCAAAAATCATTTCAAAATTTAGTTTAAATCGCCCAGGGCATAAGGATCATATGGAAGAAACTAGCCCAATGAGATGAGGAACATCTTTTCCAAGATTTCCAAGATTTCCAGGACACCCCCTACCCTCAAGGGTTTGGTAAATACTTGCTAAGAAAAAGCCAGGGAAGCAACCTCGGGAGGTTAGAGCTAAAGAGACCACACAGATCAACAGTCCAAATCCTACATTTCACTGAGGAAATGAGGACAAAAAGAGGAAAGCGCCTTCCCAGGACTACAGGGCCAGGCTGGGGCTAGAACTCTGCCCCCCTGACTCCAGGGCAGGCAGGGCTCTTTCTGTGCACTTGACCAAAGGTTCAATGTGAGGGAAAGATGGGGGCTAGGCAAATCCAAAGTGAGGTGGGGAAATACAATTAAGCTTGTTAAATGAAACCCAAAACTTCCAGACCAAATCCCACTGTCCTACTGGCTTAGGACAAAAATCACCCTTTTCTCCAAAAGGGCAAATCCAAATCTGGACAAAGAGAGGCCCTAAGAGCAGTGAAAGCAGAGGTTAGGGGCCGATCACTGGGCTACCAAACCTTCCATTCTGCCAAATGCATTATTTAGAGGAAGAGGGCTCAGAGAAAGCTCCAGCCCTTCACATTTCTTTCTATCTAATCTACCTCTTCCCCTGGTCTTCTCAACCCTGGCCGAGCCACTGGAGAGCATTCTTTGGGGAGGGGGGAAAGGACTTTAGCACTGACTGTACCCAACTAGTTGCCCCTGGTGAGTATCTACAGCTCACCCTAAGGCCCAGAGAGGGTGCCTGGCCCAATTACAGTCAGAAGCAGCCTTCCAAACCGCGAGGTGTGCTCGACCATGCCGGACTCGTGCAAGGCCTCGTTGGGGCCGAGGACCCCAAGAACGCGGGTCGTCTAGACGGAGATCGAGCAATAGCGGGCAGGGGGCTGAGGGGGAGGGGAGGCTTTGGCCCCAGCCTCGGGACGACCCTCCCAAGCTGCCCTCTAGAACTTGCAGGCCTGGGAGGGCCTAGGGTGGGGGTCATGCTCCTTACTAGGACATGTCCAGCAGCTGATCCAGGTCCACGCCGCGGTAGGTGAATTTCCGGAAGGTTCGCTTCTTCTTCTGCTCCACTTCCGCCTGTTAAGAACCGGGGATCCCGGTGAGACTCCCCGCCCGCGGCCCCAATGGGACGTACCCCGGGACTGGGAAGGGTCCCCGGGGGCACGTAGCCCGGGGCCGCTCCTCTCCCCAGCCCCCGCTCCTTGCAAATACCAGGACCGCGCCGAGCAAAGCCTCGCGCCGCGACAACGCCGTGCCCTGGGACCCGGGACCCCACGGGGCCTCCTACCGACCCTCACCGCTCCTCAATATACGGCGGCTAAGAAGCCCAGGGGCCCTCCTAGGGGAACCGAGGTCTCCTAGCCCGACCGGGACACCCCAACTGTGGATGGGGATGGATACAAAACACCCGCCCGGTCTCCCCGGGCCTTTCAGCGCCAGCACCTACCATCTTGTCTGCTGTCAGGAAAAGACCGCTCCCGATTGCGCAGGCGCAGATATCGCGCGTCGACACCCCACGCCAGCGCGTACCGACACCGCACGCGCTGCACGCAGCCCCGCCCCCTTCGTGAGCTGCGCGCGCGCGCCCTCTTCTGGCCAGAAGGCGCAAAGCAGAACATAGAGCGTTGGGTTCTTCCAGCGTGCAGCGGGCGTGTGCTTAGGGCTATATAAGACAGACGCGGAGGGGCGGGAGACGGCACTGGAGGCTGCGGGTTCGGTGGGCTGAAAAGCCAGTTCGAATCCTGCCCCAGACACTTAGGGCTGCACGTATAAAACCTCGAAGATCAAGCACCTGAGGAGATAAGCCCTAACTCGTCCCAACCAAGTCTTTTCCGATGGCCGAGCTGTACACACAGGGGACGTCTAAAGTCCCTCCCAGGGTTCTGGGTTCTAAGGTCCTTCCCATTCTGGTTCTCCCACCCCCCCACCCCAGGTATGAGAGTCCATGTTCAATGTTCCTTTCCATCTGCCCCCTCCCTCCAGGTCTGATAGTGCCTGTTCCGTGACCTTCCTGGCTCTGACGTTCCGTGTTCCACGAGCCCATGCCAGCCCCAGCCTTAGACAGATAGGCGCCTTGATTGTGCTGCTCAGAGCTGGGACGCGAACTCAGGTCACCTGGGTTCTCTCTCCCTCTCATCATCTCCTGCTGCTGCCGGGTTTGCAAAGGCAAGTGGTGAAGGAAAGGAGCATGTGTGTGTCAGTCTCTCCAGGGGGTCGGCAGCCCCAGGAAAGAGGGGATACAGAGTCTCCAGGGTGCCTTCCTTCCTCAGGAGGCTGCAGCCCGCGAACAAGCAGGCCCCGGGGGAGGGAGCCAGGTGGTTCTGATTAGAACCTGTGCCTTTGGGTGGTCCCTGACCTGGGCATCAAGAGACCAGACTAGCCTCTCATAACCTAATCTCCCAGAATTAGATTGTCAGAGCTGAAAAGATCCTTGCTAGGAAGTCCAAGGGCTCTTAATCTGGGGCAGGTGAACTTTTTTTTTTTAACCTTTTGATAATTATTTCAATGTAGTTGGCTACTAGGCACCTAGAAAAATATGATTGTTGAGAAGGGGCTTGCCCATAGGTTTCACCAGGTCACTAAGGGGGTCCATGACACAAAGAAGGTGAACTCCTGACCTAATTCAGCCGTTTGGTTTTTTTAAGGCAATCAGAGTTAAGTGACTTACCCAGGGTCACACAGCTACTCACACAACTACTAAGTGTCTAAGGGTAGATTTGAACTCAGGTCCTCCTGACTCCAGAGCTAGTACTTTAATGCACTGTACCACTTTCAACTCTGTTTTACAGGTAGGAAACCCGTTCAGCAATTGGAAATAACTTGGCCAATGAATGTCAAGAATTGGGAACAGAGGGGGCAGCTAGGTGGCTCAGTGGATACAGCACTGGCCCTGGAGTCAGGAGGCCCTGAGTTCAAATCCAACCTCAGACACATAACGCTTACTAGCTGTGTGACCCTGGGCAAGTCACTTAACCCCATTGCCTAGCCCCCCAAAAAATTGGCAACAGAATCCAGGTTTCCAAATTCCAAGTTCATGGCTGGGGGGTGGGAAGGAAGACATATTGGTGATTGGTGGGGTGCTCAGTTGTTTCCTCACCTCTATCCTCAAAACTTGCCCTTTGGGACCTGGAAACTGGAGCCCTGCCAAGGTGATCTCTCTAATCATTCTTCCTCTCCCCATAATTCCCTTGTGAATTGAGGGGGAATAGAGAAGCTAAGCCTAGGTTTTCCTATTCATGGACTCTGCAGTGTTGTGGTAGGAGAAAAAAAGTCCTGGCCTGAAAAGGACACCAGGGGCCTCTCATCCTGTCACTAACTCTGTGCACAAGAGACCCTCATGTTGCCTCGCTGGGTGTCAGTTTCCCATGTCTATGAGCAGCTTGGCCTAGTTCCCTCCCAGCTGATTCATCCTTTTCTAAGTTATACTGTCTAGATTCCTGGATTTGAGAGCTGGAAAGGACCTTGGAGGTTGGTCATCTAGTCCAGCTCTCTTTTTACAGATGGGGAGGAGATGCTGACCTGGAGTTCCTCCTTCCAGTTGTGATACTCTGTGTTCTGAAGTTACTGCCTACTCTGACATTCTGAGAGCAATTCTCTAAAGAAAGCACAAGGCCTCAGTCTAGCCTGGGGAAGGCTTGAAAATTGTGCCTCTTGTGTGTTAACCATCCTACCTTAGGCTCTGAACCTTCACTTAAACAAATGCCATCTGACATCACAAAATACCCACAGGGTGGTGGAAAAGGTTTACTGGCATTACCAAATACGTGCATTTTATAAAATTTTATACGAAAAGATTTCCTGTGTTGTGCCGTAGGCAGCTGCCTAATAATAATTCACATTTGTATAGAACTTTCAAGTTTACCTTGCCTGGCATGCCACTCATCTGGAAATTTTAGCATATGGTGCAAAGTACTGTTAGCTCCCTTCTTAGGTATGTGTTCTCTCCCCCAAGGAGGCTATTATCCCGTGAGCCAGACTTCATGTTTCCTCAGCATCGACTTAGCACAAGGCCATCTGTGCACATATTTGGCACTGGATAAACAAACAGCCGAGGGCCACATTTGCCCAGTTCCATTCTGTGACTCATCTCAGAGGTAGTGGCCCCTCTCTTGGGGGGAGGGCAGGATTAGGTAGATGACTTATACCAAGAAGCAGCAGCTGATCTCTAAGGAGGAACATGAAAAGCCACTACCCAAATCAGGCTGACAGAGCGAAAAACCAAAAAAACCTAGCATGAGGCAGTCTGCCAGTCACAACTCACAGCTTCCCAGAGCATCAAAGGAGGGGTCACAGCCCAGAACCCACATCTGAGGCTACTTTAGAAAGCACTGTTCTCTCAAGTGTCAGTCCAAGTCTGGGCACAGATGTCGTGCTGGTTTGTTTTTGTTTTTTTTAAACAAATTATTTCAAGTCCCTCTACTGAATCATATAAAGTCTGTGGTCTAAAAGGTGAGCTGCCCTTGGATAATTTACTTTCTGGATACTAAACTGCACTACAGATGAAAAATGGGTGCTTTCATGTTGATTGGTTCGTGGAATCAAGTTAAAACTTGTTAGAAATTGTAGTACCAGTGATTAATTTTTCAAAGCCTTTTCATGTGTTACTTCACCAAGAGGCCAGTCTGAGGTGAATGAGCAGGTAGAAATGGCTTGAATCCAAAAGGGAGGGGAAACGTCATGAAGACAAACCAGTTCCATTCCTTCTTCCCTCCCAAGGTCGCCTGCATTTTTTTTTTTTTTTGGCCGGGTGAGAAAGTGTAGAGGTAACGTCAAGATACAATAGGAGGGGGCTTGTGATGCTTGCAATGAGATGTTAAAGAAGGTTGAAGGCTAATTCCCACTAGATGGCTGCTTGGAATAGATTATCTCTGGGATCCTTTCCACTATCAGCATTCTGGAAGAGGAGATGGCTAGGCTCTGTCCACCTACAAAAGTTCTGTTCTATTAAGAATCATAGAATTTGAAGGTAGTTAGGTGTCACAGTGGATAGAGCTCCAGCCTTGGAATCAGGACCTGAGTTCAAATCCGACCTCAGACACTTGACATTTACTAGCTGTGTGACCTTGCGCACTTAATCCTCTCTACCTCAAAAAAAAACCACACACACACACACACATTACTAACAATGACTTCACGTGGTATAAGGGAGGACAAAAATATATGTAACATCTTAAAAGTCAAGGAGAAAAAGAGACATAATGCCCTGGTATACAAAGCATTAAAAGGCCTAGAGAGGACAGCCTTAGCATGTTGGGTGGGGATGTGGATAAGCAGCTCAGGAGAAGGCAGAATAGACAGGCTACAATACAAACTCATCAAGGTATTATTATCTTATCCCGTTAGTCCCATAACAAAAAGAAGCCTGTCTGCTCTAAATATAATCTCTTTCAGTGAGTACATAGCAAATATTGAGTGATTGTAACTCAAGGTAGGCTTAGGTTGTCTATCCCATTTCACAAATGGAAAGACTCCCAAGCCTCTGGTGTTTTAGACTCCAAAGCATGGGACAAGATTAGTTTGGGTATTTTTTTATGGGGGGGTGGGGGGAGGACGGAGAGGGAAAGGGCAAATTTTGACCTGGGATTTCATTAGCGAAGGATCTTTGAGGTGAGGAGACTCCTGCAGATGCAGAACGACACCTGTTTGGACTTGAAGTTTAGTGGTTTGCCCAGCTGGCTTTCAACACACTTGACACACAAAGCCAGATTTCCCTGACTCAGGACAGTTGTCATTTGTGCAGTGGCAGACCATTTCCTTGAGGTACAAAAATGCAGCCTCCAATTCACCACCCACGTCTGGGGCCAAAAAACTTACAACTGACAAACTCATGAGGTTCACAAACTCCAACGTTGAGTTTTTCGTTGCAAGATGTTGTTTGGACTGGCCTTCCCTAAGGAGCTGCTACTTAAAACCAGTGCTTCTCACCCCACTTTTGCCACCTACCAATAGCAGATGCTTTTTCTTTCAATGCCCACAGAGCAACGATAATCAGGCTCTGAAATCCCAGCATCCTATGTTCCCTGGAGGGGCTGCCACTCAATCAAGATGCTCAGGATGCCAAGTTTTCCTGTAGCTCCCCAGGGCAGGTCCCCCTACAATGACAGGCTCACCACTGGCACCAGCCCCATGCGTTCAATTGCAATGACACATCCCCCAGCACAGAACCTCAATCCCCACCAGCTGCCTCAGCCTGGATGACTCCAGGCCTGCTGGAGGGCAGATGCTGTTCTAATAAGCTTGTGATGGGGGGTGGTACAAGGATTAGTGCCAGCAAATGTGTGGGGCCACTGTAAAATCATTTATCTTAGAGCTTGCAGGGAAGGTCTTGGAGGTCACCTTAATCCAACCCCTTCATTTTACAAATGACAGGAAGACTAAGTGAATTGCCCATGTGTACTCTGTGAATTAGTGAGGCAGGATTAGAACCCAGGTCTCAAAACTCATTCCACTACCTCATCACTGGTATAACTGCAATTTCAGATGACCGTTTCCTGGATCCCCAACAGAATATTAAGAAAAACCTGA